GCCTTAGCCGCTTGAGCCGCAGGCGCCGAGCCACCTGTAGGATTTCTAATCTCACAAAGCAGAGTGCACCGAATATTTATAGGAAGTAGGGGGATCTAGAGCACGTGACTAATAACCTGCTAAGTAAAAGAATCCCAAATCTCCGTCTATAACTCAACAACTTCCCCATTTCTCTGGTGGTTAGAATAAAAGACCCTAAGGAAAGAAACTGTAGGTGAGCTTGAACCTTTCACTCTGAAGCAGTTGAACTGATTTCTGAAAGTTCTTAAAAGAGAAACTAAAGTCAGTGGCTGGATTGTATTAACAAAGGTCTTCACCCTGACCTATTACTTGGGGATATTTTTGTCATTACCCAGAAGGGTGTGTTCCATCAGGTGACCCCATCTATTTTCAGCTACCTGCAGCAGCTGAAACTCTGGCAATGATTCCACCCCCTCGGGAAACCAGCAGCAGGGCAGATTCTCATTTCCAAGAGAGTAGTTACAAGCCCACTCGGCCTCCTCTAAGATTGAGAATCTATGTTTGGAAGAAAAATTCAGAAAATAGTTTTTTGGCTGGCTTTGTTTTTGTTTTGGTTTCTGTTTCTGTTTTTGTTTTTGTTCTTGGCTTTTTAAACGCCACTCCTTGGGAAACGAGAAGGGGTGCATGGTGGGAGGTTGCCTAGAGGCTGCCATGTGTTGCTCCAGGCATGGACACACTGAAGGCCCTGACTTCACCACAGTGTGATATGTCAATGTAGAAAAATTGCATTTGTACCCCCGAAATATATACAAATTTTTCAAAAATCTAAAAACAAATAACATATATATATTTTTTTTAACCAAAATATTTCTATCCTTTTATTTTCCTTTTTATTAATTGTTATTATTATTATTATTTTGAGATAGAGTCTCACTTTGTTTGCCCTGGGTAGAGTGCTGTGGCATCATAGCTCACAGCAACCTAAAACTCTAGGTTCAAGAATTTTATCTCAGCCTCCCAAGTAGAGGGATTGCAGGCTCCTGCCGCAATGGCTGGCTATGATGAAATAGTTTTTATAATAGAAATAGATTTTCTATTTTTAGTAGAGATGAGATTTCTGCTCTGCTCTTGCTCAGGCTGGTCTCCAACTCCTGAGCTCAAGCAATCCACCCTCCTTGTCATCCCAGAGTGCTAGGATCACAGGGGTGAGCCACCTTGAAAGGCCTGGGCCTCTTGATATTCTAATAATTCCGGCTCACAGGAATTACCTTGCCCAAGGTCACACAGCTCATTCATGGTTTTGCCTTGAAAGTCCAGCTTCAGGTTCCCAAAAGGGAGGGGGGAACTTTTGCCTCACATCACTCATCTTTAAGGTGTCTGTGATCTTCCGATGGATTGAACCCTCTGACAGGTTTTAGGAGTTTGACAGGCTTCTCCCCATTTATTTAGTTAGTGCCCGATGATTAAAGGGAAGCAGAGGCACTGTAGAGTTATTGCAGTGGATGCTAAAACCCAAATCACAGCACAGAGTCTTCAGAGCAGCAGTTCTCAACCTGTGGGTCACAACCCACAGGAACTGTATTAAAGGGCCACAGCATTAGGAAGGTTGAGAACCACTGCTTTAGAGTGAAGAGCGGCTTGCCACATTTGTGGATAGAGGTATCAGTACATAGAGAGGATGCTTTCAAATATATGGACTGCAGGGGCTTTCATTTTTGAAATATAAGTACTAGTAAAAATGTTAGTTATTTTTGTCAGTCAACACATACAATTATGTGAACATCTTGGAAATTTCCAAGATGTGGTTCTCCAAAAATATGCAGATGTGGTTCTCCAAAAATATGCAGTTCTCACAGCTGAAGGTTGTGCACCTGTGCCTAAGGCGTCACATACTACTCTTTACATAAAAGAGGAGCTTAGAGGGCACTTTTAGCAAAACCATTCTGGCTGTGCAAAGAAGCTTAGGGACAGGAGTTATTCTTCCAGTGCTCTTCAGATCAAATCCTCAGATGGACACACCCTTTCCCTCGGCCCCTAATCCTCGCCCTGGGGCGAGGTTAGGTATCTTCTATCGGCTCTCCTTTTCCTCCACAATGCCTCCTCCGTCCCCCACCTTTCCCATTCATGGGAGGCGACTTATATTCCATGATGTCAACAGACTCTTTTTGAGGGCAGGGATGGGGTAAAAGATGTGGCTCCCAGATCAAAGCCACAAATAAGGGATATCATTTTGTTCTCACAGTCAAACAGGAAGGCCACAGAGTTACACCTACTCCTGCACATGACTGGCTTCAGATGAAGCAATCTTTGCTGCTCTAGGGCTGAGGGCAAGGGAGGGAGAAATGTGAGGTCACCTAAAAGGAAACCACACTGCAGCTCTTCTCGCCTGGCAGGACCCAGGAACGCTCAAGGACTGGGGCTCACAAAATAACTCAGTTAGGTCATGGATCTTCATAGACCACTTTAAATAAGTCACTCTTGGGGACATTCATAGGAGGCATTCAGAAACTCACAAGACCTATGCCTGGCATCTATTTCCTATTTTTCATCCTTGACCCTTCTAATTAAAGTTTCTTGACAGGAGAAATCATGCCACATGCCTCATATTTTTTTACTCCCATCACTGGAGATGATGCAGTCAGCATCAAAGTGCTGGGTGCAGTGGCTCGCACCTGTAATCCTAGCACTCTGAGGCTGATGCTGGTGAATTGCTTGAACTCACCAGTTCAAGACCAGGTCCCCATCTCTAAAAAATAGCCAGGCATTGCGGGGGTGCCTGTAGTCCCAGCTACTTGGGAGGTGGAAGTAAGTGAATCATTTGAGCCAGGAGTTTGAGGTTTCTGTGAGATATGAACCACGGCACTCTACACAAGGTAACAAAGTGAAACCATCTCAGAAATAAAGTAAAAAGAGTTCAAGACCAGCCTGAGCAAGAGAGAGACCCCCCCCCCATAAAAATAGTAAAACCTAGCCGGTTGTGGTGGGTGTCTGCAGTCCCAGCTACTGGGAAGGCTGAGGCAGGGGGATGACTTGAGTCCAAGAGTTTGAGGTTGTGGTGAGCTGTAATGCTAGAGCACTCTACAGAGGGTGACAAGTGAGACTGTCTCATAATACTTTGGCTTGATAATGAACTTAGTAGCTTACATGACAAAAAGTAAAACACACAGAAAAGAATGGTGATAGCTTTTAATGGTTTTATAGTGACAACACACCAATTTTCATGTGTACACATTTAAATATCGTTACAGACCATAAATACCCATATGGCAAAAAAAAACCTCGGTCATCATTCCAACTAAATAAACAGCCTTAAGTAATACTGAGAAAAACAAATGAGGTAATTTTTCATCAAAAGTGACTATTTTTACCATAAAATTCAAGTAGTTATAAAATCCTTGTCTCATAACTCAAAAATGGAACTTTAATACACACCTTCAAATGAAACAAAAATTTTTTGATTATAAATAGGTAAAAAATAAATAGTTACTTCTGTTGAAAATTCCATCATGCCATTATTTTCGTGTATGTCTATGAGATTTTCATTGTAAGAAATGTCTGTCCCTTTTTTAATCAAAGTACATTCTAATTATGAACACGTAATCCTCCAAATAAAATCCAATTTTTTCAAAGTTGTTTTCCAGTTTTCCACAATTTCCAGTTAACCACAGGGAACACATTTAATGAAAGTCATCTGAACAGAAGCAATACAATTTAAATCAGAACAAACAAATTAACTTATTTTACATTACTGTGTAGTGACCTATGCAATCAACATTCAATATAACATTCAGTGTTCTCAGAATGAAATTTGTCCTTTTAACAAGACAATACATATAAACCAAATAGTACACAGTGCTCGGGAGTTGGCACTGAAAAGTACAAAAACAAAACAAAACAAAAAAAAAACAAAGAAAAAACAACACTGAACTGTTTCTTTCCAGCCTTAACCTTATTTTCAATTCCTTTTATACCAGGCTGGGCAATGACCTTCAGCAAAAATAACAGAATTCTCTAACTAAAAAAAGAAGTGTTATTAGATCCCTATTTTTAAGATTCTTTCATTCTTGTTGTCAAATAAACAAAGTAGTTTTACAATGTCACCCCCCCAAATGACATAAAAAACCCAACAGAATTTTGAGGTATTCCATCTTCAGTTTAAGGGCACCCACCAGCAAGTGAATGCTCCCTCTCATTCCTCTCAATTACAATGAGACCTCTCTTCGAATTTATGACATTGGTACCACTTGCACCCATTGTGGGAAACTTCCCTTTCGAAGGAGTCCCCTTTTGCTAAAGTTTTCGTTGCAGTCAGGTTCCAGAGCAGAAGAGTTTGGTTATCAGATTCAGGAGTTTCTGGCGGAAATTCAGTTTGTCTCCCAGTCTCCTCAGCTGAGCTGCACACTCCTCTTCCAGCTCTGAGAAAGAAAGCAAAATATCAAAATTAACAATGACAATATTCCAAGCTGTCACCAGCCAAGAGTTAACACGCCCATCTAAGTTGGACAAGTTGAATATCCCTTAGAAACCCTCATCCTTGGCTTCTCATAAGCCTGTTTTCTGAGTCTGTTTTCTGAACATGAGAAAGATCATTTAGAATGTACAATTTTTTTTGCTCATCTTGGATGAGACAAGTGTTATCTCACTTCCAAATATGGCAATTTCAAATGACAAATTCTACAAAGAGTAATGCCAGCTTTACTAAGCTTAAGTGATGTCATCCTGTTCCTTTATGACCAAGGAACAGAAATCAGATTCTAACTGTGGTTTTCAAGTTGGTTTTTTAAAAACTTGGTTTTTAAACATCAGTAATTCATACCTTAGATGACACCGTCATTAACAGGCAAATCTAAATTTTTTTCTTTTCCTCATGAAAAAACTTAATACTTTCTCTTAAAAGTCTCATAAAATTTGTTCTAAAATTAAATCCATATTCTTCAAAATAATTTAAAATATTTACATTTTACTGTAAAACCACCTTCTTCCTATAAGCCCAATCGGTACCAAGCCATTGCCTTTCCTGCAGGTGGGTTAAGTAAAAAATAAAATTTAGGGTGACGCCTGTGGCTCAAAGGAGTAGGGTGCCGGACCCACACGCCAGAGGTGGTGGGTTCAAACCCAGCCCTGGCGAAAAACTGCAAAAAAAAAAAAAAGTAAAACTTATTTCACATATTCACTACTTTTTAAAATTGAGGTATTCTAACAAAATAACATTTTTGGAAAAGAATGCTTATAAATTTCCAAGTAAGCCATTTTCAGTAAGTGCAGCTAACTATCTGACTATAATCTTTAATATTTCAAAGTCCAATTCAAGGGCTTTTTGGTCCGCTTCATGATTATAAACATTAAAGAGCATCACGATGACAAAATCTGATCTATTTTGCAATTAGACCATGAAAGGACCGCATTTAGGCTCAGAATAAAATGAAAGCTGTAAATATATAGCAAAACTAAATTTTTTTGAGATACGGTCTCACTCTACTGCCCAGGCTAGCCTGCTGTGATGGCATCACAGCTCACAGCAGCCTCAAACTCCGAAGCTCAAGCGATCCTCCTGGCTCAGCTTTCCCCATAGCTGGGATTACAAGCAGGGGCTACGGTTTCTGCCTCGTTTTTCTATCTGGGGGAAATCTATGCTTGCTGCATAGGTGATTTGGAACCCCTGACCTCAAGCAATAAAGCAGAATTTTGAGCCTACTTCTCTCTGCAAGAAGCTAAGTAAAATCTTTCCTTACTCCTATCCTTACTCCTACACCGAATGACCTAACAAATCCCTAAGATGCTATTTTTTAGGAGCTCCAGGGTCAAACATTTTAAGTACTGACAAAGACATGTTCTTTTCAGTGAATGGGATAGATATATTAACATACAAATCTTTTTTTTAAAGCCAGTATCGTTCAGTATTCGATATTTTTAAGCCCTGAATTCTGAAGTAGAAAAACTATCTCTTTGACAAAATAAAGGGGAGGGAGGAGGGCAGAAAAGAGTTCTCCGTTGTCTCCTTAATTTATAAATTAAGAAACGTTATTACTAACGTATTAATATCCAATCAAGGTTTCTACGCTCCCCGCTGTCCCTTGTTCCCGGGAAGTCAGCAGGTTAGGTTTTTTAATACAGCACAAAAGATGGACCAAGCTTTTCCTACCCCATGCCAGAACCCAAGAGTGCAGCCTGCTGCCAAGCTAGCACGGTCACGTTAGTAATGTTTTATCACTTCCCCTGCACGCCCCACGAGCTCTATAAAACGAAACTAACTCGGAAGAGGGGCCTATAATCTGATGCAATACTAGTGTGACCCACACAGATTGGAGCCCAGGACCTTCCTGGCTTCCTCGCTGCAACCCCTTAGCAGATGACAGCCTACACTTACATTTTTTTAAAAGGGGGCTGCTGACCTGAAAAGTGAGGATGGCGTTGTATGTGGAGGGAATGGGAATGGATGGACGAAAAAAGATAGGGGAACAACTCCTATTCTCTCATCTCCAGCCCCACAATATCTATTTAAACACCAATCTTAACAAGTTAAGACTTAAGTGGTCGTGAACATATGGGTCCTGGCAGGTCTAGGAGGTTCCTGAGCCCTCTCTGCCCCACCTGCCGTGGCAAAGAGTTTCTCCTCCTGGCTGTGGCCTGAACTTGCACTTGTTTTTCCCCAGGCCCCGGGGAAAAGTAAGCGGGGATGGGGAAAAGCAGGAGCTCTCAGCGCCGGCTAATAAATGCAACCGCATCCCAACCCCAAACCCGGCTCCCTCTCTCGCAGTCTCCGCGATCCTGGGAAAAATCCTGAATAATTCCCTGGAAGCGTCCCAAAGGCATGCCCCAGAGCGCACACCTGGCGGGACCCGAAGCCCCAGTGCCTGCCCGTAGGGCCCCAGCCCCGACAGGTCAAACCCACCCGGACCAAGACCTCGACTCCGGCCACCCGCGGGCCCCAGCCGGCAAGTACCATTGCGAGCGGGGCTCGGTTGCGCGTTCTTACGCGCCTTCTTCCCGGCCATCTCGACAAGTGCCGCCGCGAACTCTCAGCGGATCGCGGGTCTCAGTCTCCCAGCCCGAGCACCTCGGGCGTCTGCAGGATGCGAAGTGCGCGCGGGCAGCCGGGCGGCGGGACGGGAAAAACGAGAAGCACCAAACTACCAAATGCGCACAGTCGTGCCGGGAACCTCTGAGGTTCCAGGGCCCGGCTCCGCGCTCTGGTCTTATAGGGACATACCAGTGACGTAAAGAAACTTGACTCTGGGCCCGCCCCGTCCCGCCCCGCGGAGAGTACCCAGGAGCTAGCGCGGGATCCGAGCGGCAGGCGAGCTCCCCCACCGTGCGCGACCGCCGGGACGCGCTCCCGACCCGCGCTGGCGCCGGCCCGCGGCGGGGGGCGCGGGACGCTGGGCGGGCAGGACCCTGCCCGGTCCGAAATTACTTCCTTTCAAAGCGGGGGTGGGAGAATTTGGCTTTGAGAACCGCGACCACAGGACCAGTCAGCCTCAGGGGTGGCGGGACCTGGGATTGGCGGGAGAAGGGTTTTCCTAGGAAGAAAGTTGGGGGTGGGGCGAGACCAGGCGCCTCGTCCTTATCATAAATTGGCAATTAAAGATTTCGTTAAGCAAGCCGCGGAAAGAGTTCCGAAAGGAAAATTTTTCGAATTTAGAGAGTATGTGTAGCTCCAGGGAAGGGAAATGGAGAGAAGTTTAATAATAGCAGAGATCGTGCTAGTGGCCGTGCGAGACGGTTCCAGGTCCGGGAACAAATTAACACGTCGGTAGTGTTGGGAAGTTGCCGCACACTGAAACCCTGGTGTGAAGCAGAACATTGTGTCAGGGAGCGAGAGATGGTGAATGGTTCCGTCTGGCCCTGGGGTCAGAACCTGGACAGGACTGGTTTTAAAAAGCAGCTTCCCTCTAGGTATGAGACACTGCTCAGTCTGGATGTTTGGAGACACAAAACGACTGGATCATTACCATACAGAAAACGTCCAAATCTTTTGTGGGAGAGCTGGGCTATCTGGGAACACGAAATTATTTACGCAATATTTAGTGGAGCCCATTGTATTATTATGAAGAAGAGTAATTAGGGCTAGTCTGGTGTTGAGGACCGCTTCATGCCAAGGGCTTTAGCGTGCATCTTCTCTTTCCCTCCTGAAAACAGCTCTTACAAGTTGGCGTTCTTAACGTCGTGGCCACTTTACAGGTGCAGAAGCTGAAGTTTATACGCATTCAGTAAATTATCCAAGTTCACGTAGGTAGCAAGCAGTTCTCCATCTGAACTCACACAGGCCCACAGAGAGCAAAAGCTCTTAACCACGATAGCTTTCCCAGCAATCTCAATTCCTTAAAATGTGTATTCCTATACTATCTGTGCTGTGTAATGCACAGGTTGTAAATTGGTTGCTTATAGCTGCACGGACTCCTTAGTAGCATTTGATTTCATGTACATTTATTGGTCTACAAAATGTCTTGTGAAAATTTGAATTGATTACTGATATTTAAAAATTGAGAGATGGCATTAAAAGCTAAGATTCTGGCATCTCTTGGAAAATCAGAAGCGCTTGACAACCTGGGATCCATCTTCCCAAAGTGCAAAGGACGATGGAAGTGTGAGCCAAGCCACCCTCTTCAGAGGGAACTTGGGTGCTCCTGTTCATCAGCACTCCCTACTGTTTGCTTTTCTCCTGTGCATTATCTGTCCCCAGTAGGCATTTGAGCTTGTTTATTTATCTTAAAACATTCAATCAACACTAACCCACAAACATTTATCTATGGCTTGCTCCCACAAGCCACAAGAAGATATAGACCATGCTACAAGCATGGACTAAAACTGCTCTCGAGTTTAAAAAACAGTTTTGAGGCTGATATTGGGTGTTTTGGAGCGTGGTACATTCATAGGAATAAGAGGGAACCAAATTCAGGAATTCTCGCCACACTACACTAGATGCACAGTGGAGACACTGCCTTGAAATCTATTGTGTCCGACCTGGCTACTCAGAACCAGTGTCTCTCCCCACAATCATTTTGACAAAATACATTAACTTTCCGATAGCATAAATTAGCAAACTTGGGTTCAAATCGTGCACCCTGAAATGCAACAGATAAACTCAGCGAAAGGAAAGCAAATCAGAACGCCTACAAAGGGTATGTTAATACTGTCCCCTAACATTATCATTATAAAGGGTTGTTGATCTCCTAACTGGATACAAACTTAATGCAACCACGTCTTTCAGGGAATTGCAAATTGACCTTGCAAGAAAGAAAGGGGAGGAGAGAAGCAGGGGAGGAGGCTTCAGAAATGGGTCAAAATCAGCTGGATTAGGAAGGACTTTTTAAGCCTTCGAATTTGAGATAGTCTATGTATATAAACTCCTTTTTAGATCTAACATTCTATTAAAAGAATTAAAAGCAGAATGTAAAAAGCTTCTCCTAGCTGTATATCTCTCTGGATGAAAGATGTATCATTTTATGTTAGGCTTGCAACAAATGTAAACATGGGGATGTTTTTGCCAAACAAAATAATGAACAAATATTTATCATGAGGGACTAGTGTTTCCTACCCTATTTAAAGAAAAAAAGTGGACTGGTAAAAATAACAGTTTTAAAAAAGATTACTAGATAATCTTTTTTTCAAGAAAAGTTTAAAAATGAGGGCTGGGAGTGGTAACTCATACCTGTAACCCCAGCACTCTTGGAGGCCAAGGCGGTGGATTGCCTGAGCTCAGGAGTTCAAGACCAGCCTGAGTAAGAGTGAGACCCTGACATTCTACTAAAAATAGAAAAAAACTGAGGCAAGAGGATTTCTTGAGCCCAAGAGTTTGAGGTTGCTGTGAGCTATGATGCCACGGCCCTCTACCCAGAGCAACAGAGTGAGACTCTGTCTCAAAAAAAAAAAAAACAAGAAAAAAAAATTGGCCAGGCATAGTGGCTCACATCTGTAACTCCAGCACTTGGGAGGCCAAGGCAGGTAGATTGCCTGAGCTCACAAGTTCAAGACCAGCCAGAAAGACCTGAGTGAGACCTCATCTCTAAAATTTAGCCAGCCATTGTGGCAGGCACCTGTAGTCCCAACTACATGGGAGGCTGAGGCAAGAGGATTGCTTGAACCCAAGAGTTTGAGTTTGCTTCGAGCTAAGATACCACAATACTCTACCAAGGGTGACCAAGTGAGATTGTGTCGCAAAAAAAAAAAAAAAAAAAAGTTCAAAAATGATAGTGGAAATCTAGCCATGTCTATGTGATCACTTAGAGTGTAAAACATATCCATATATATTTTTAAGAACACCCCCAACAAACATGATTAGTAACAGAATAATCATACAAGCTTCATATGTTTCATGTAGAAAACAGGATTTGACAACTCAGCAGGAGGATATGAGATATGAGTGAGGCATATTTAGAGGCAGACTGGGATGAAATACATAGCCCATACACTCGATTCTATTTATTCTAATGAAAATGAACTTGTTTTTTCTCTGTATAGTATGTTTATTTACAGAAAAATTAGCCAAATAATTTGACCCATACAAATTATGCCATAAATGTTTCTTTGAGACAGACACTATGCTAGGGTCCCTACCTGAACAGACCCTAGGGGTGGAGAGACTAACACCTCACAAATTTCTCTTGAGTATCTCCTTTAAAATGCATATCTGATTCTGGAGCTCTGGTTAGGGCTGGAAATTCTGCATCTTTAATGAACTCTAGAGATGCTGACGCTTTAAGTCTGTGGACAATTTTGGCCAACCTAAGAGGCCAAAGGGCAAACAGATATTCCAGGCAGAAGCTGAACAGAGATTGGAGGTGTGGAGTGACAAGGGGTGAATGGGAAGAGAAGCCACTAAAAGAATTAGAATGTTATTGTGGGCCCATGTGGGAACTGATAAAGGTTTTAAACAGGTCAGTGATATGTCAGATTCTAGAATTCTCACTCTGGCTATGTAGTGTGAGTAGATTAATTGATTTGAGACCTGAGACAGTGATTAATGAAAATATGGTAGTTCTCATATGAGATGACAGTGTCAGCAAAGACATACACTGTTTCAACCCCTCTTACTATAATCCCGTCTCCCTAATTAGAGTAGCGCTAACATTCCATTACAGCAAGCCTTGATTGTTTCTCAGCATAATTATCATTGACATTTTATCCTATATAACTTCTAGGGTTGCTGTGCCTAAGTACCACAAACTAGGTGGTTTAAAAAATACAAATGTGGCTCATGCCTATAATCCTAGCACTCTGGGGGGGCCAAGGTGGGTCAATTGCTCAAACTCACAAGTTTGAGACCAGCCTGAGCAAGAGCAAGACCCCATCTCTAAAAAATAGCCAGGCGTTGTGGCAGGCACCTATAGTCCCAAGTATTTGGGAGGCTGAAGCAAGAGAATCGCCTGAGCCCAGGCATTTGAGGTTGCCGTGAGCTATGGCATACAGCACTCAACCCCAGGGCAACTGAGTGAGACTCTGTCTCAAAGAAAAAAAAAATGGCTCGGCACCTGTGGCTCAAGTGGCTAAGGTGCCAGCCATATACACCTAGGGGGCGGGTTTGAATCCAGCCCAGGCCTGCCAAACAACAATGA